TTAAAAGCCCGTGTATGATTGACTAACATCATGCACGTTTGTCATTCAAGTAATCATTTAGTGTGTAATAAGGCTTTTTTTTACTATTTATTCTTATATTTTGTTATATGTTATTTTACCTATGTATGACGCTGCTGCCTATCCCTCGCCCTCCTTAGTCACCTCTTACGACACCCACCGGAAAAGAAAGGGGTGGCCTATTCTATGCCAGGACTAGGCATAAGCGCTTAGTGAGCAGGAATAGTGATGATAGTGCCACGCCAGTATATACCGATAGGGCAGGCGAGATTGCCATGTCATTTTCACCCATAAAAAAAAAAACTCTTAATTCCTTAATCGGATGCCTACAATTTCAACATCCTCCTGCAAACATTATTAGAGTAATCAATGACACCAGTAACCGCTAATTGATTGCAGAACGCTCAAACTGAACACATACTTACTTTGTGTAATCAATGAGTTTAAACAACGATATTGCTGTTAATTGAAAAACTTGTTAAATTACTAAACTTTAACCGCACGCTTGTTACATATGCGTTGCGTTGGCGTACCAAGTTTGAAATGTCACGTAACCAACGAAATTGGATAAATAAATGGATTCACGACTGTAATCTCTGATGGGGTAGTCAACATTACCGTTATATCAACTTTTAACTGTCCACTGCTGAACATAAGGGAGGCTTATTCGGAACTCTTCGGTTATGATTATTATGTATTATAGTTTTTTTTATACAACTTAAAATGGCATACAAGCTGACGGCCCACCTGATGGAAAGTGGTAACCGTCACCTATAGAAATGAACAGTACCATAAACATAACAGAGTATACTGTTTCACCCATGATAAACCCCATGCGTTGCCATTCCTGAGGACTCAGGTGTTATTCCTCTGTATCCTATAAATTCACGCCATATCCCACCCCTCGAACCGAAACACAGCCATGCAAACAGAACTGCTTCACGGTAGAAACACGAATAGGACAGAGGTGCCCAAACAAACGACTTTTGTACAAAGTCGTCCTCTTGTAAAGATAATGGACACATGTTAATATAACTAACAGACAATCGACCTGAGCACAAAATATCTGCATTTCTGTGCAAATAATGCACTACATCGGCTTACCATACGGGTAGCTGTGCAGACACAAAGTTTTCCATCCGTACAATGCATTCGCAACACAAACCGAATACAAAATAAGTTTGTTTGTATTCCGAACCGTGTCTGCCGACCTTAATACCCCATTAGTTCAACGATAAATTTCAGCACTCAACAATGTAAACGGAATTACTTTGTGCGACTTTATCTGTGTTTAATGCGTGCCAAAATGGTGTCTCTTTTCAACCGACTGCGCGACGTAACAGAGGGTAATGTGTTTAATTGTTTATCAGTCAATGTATGTATGTTTTGTACCTTAGTGACGCTCTAGTGAACAATCGCGTGGGCATTTTTTTTTATGGATGATAATGAAATGGCAACCTTGCCCGCGCTGACGGTATACACTGGTGGGGCATCAGTGAGGGATGATAGGTGAGAATAAAAAGGCAGGTCAGTTAGCCCATCGTGATGAATACATCTTGAACTCATCACGATGACTTCCAGGGGGACCACGTGGCAAGTCGACCTGACAAGGTATATTGCTAGCTGTGGTACTGGTAGTCTGCATTGCTAACAATACCTTCCTCCTCCCCGCGTTGGCCATTTTTAGTGATTCTAACATCGATTTATTGGGGGAAAGGGATTGTTAGTAATAGGCTATAATACCCCCTATCAGGTCGACCTCCACGTAGTTCCCCCTGGAAATCATCGTGATTAATTCTAGTGGAATTCGTCACAATGGTCTAACTGACCTGCTTTCATCGTCGCCTATCATCTCTCACTGGTGCCCTGCAAGCGTATAGCGGTAGCGCAGGCGGGGTTACAATTCCATTATAATCCATTAAAAAAACATCGTTCAATTTGTCTCATACTTGCGAGTGTCACTGAAAACAAGACAGTACTGAAAAGTCAATATGGCGTTAACTAGATGCCATATTGTGGGGCACAATAGGGGTAACGCCATATTGACCATAGATACCATATTGTGCCCCACAATATGGCATCTAGTTAGACAAAAGATTGTGGTCTTAAAAAAAAACAGACTTCAATTCTAACAAAACCAGTTATATTGATCTATTTATTTATTTATTTATAAAAAACATGATAAATGTATTGATGTTAACAATAGGTATAAGTCCTCATATTTCGCCATAATTGGCATGCAAAATTTGAAGCTTAAAAAGTTTTAAATGTTAATTAAAGGAGTCATAAAAATTCGTAATGTTTAAAAAAAAAACAATATAATAAATATGTCGAACACTTGTCAAAAAATAAAAAAAGAAATGTCACTGTCAAATCATGGACTATTGATAACAGCTGCATTGTAACACGATAGGTAATTCAAGTAGGTTGTTTACCTTTTTGTATCAAAAACTCTTGCACACTGTAAAAGGAAAAATTATCTGTCTGTCTGTCTGTAATAAATCTAAAAATTATACTATTGGCTTTGCTAAAATATTCTTTGGTATCTATCTATAAATATATATATTTTTTATTCAACTTAGAATGACAAACAAGCTGACGGCCCACCTAATGGAAAGTGGGAACCGTCGCCTATAGACATGAGCTGTACCATGGACGTAACAGAGTATACTGTTTCAACCATGATATCCCCATGCGTTGCCATTCCTGAGAACTCTGGTGTTATTTCTCTGTATCCTGTAAATTCACGCCATATCCCACCCTTTAAACCGTAACACAGCCATGCAAACACAACTGCTTCACGGTTGAAACACGAATGTGACAGAGGTACCCAAGCAAACGACTTTTGTACAAAGTCTCCCTCTAGTTAAAAATTTCAGATTAAAAAAATCTAAATCGGTGTAAATCTAATAAAATTCATAACTCTCTAATAAACCTAAAAAAAAACAAACGAATCGAGAACCTCCTTCTTTTTGAAGTCGGTTAATGAGTAAGGATTAAGACTGTCCTATGTTATATATACGAGTATATTATATTGTGTAATACGACCCTTTTGAGGGTGTACCCCAAGATAATGGGTTTCTTAACCCCATACAGTATGGAAAGTGGCGATAACAAGAACATTGAATGTCTTACACATAATAATAGTTACATTAGATATAGCATATACAGAATACGTGGTGTGTAGGGTGACACCAAAGTGGTGTATCACCTTTGATCTCTGTTGTTACTTTATTGGTATTGTAATATATTATCATATATGTATGTGTGTTTATATTTGTATGTTTTTTATGATATATACTTGTATACACACTTGAGAGCAATGAATCCGGGTTACTTAAAAAAAAATACCTATAAATCTTGAAATAATTAATAGACAATTAAATACTCTTCTCTCTTAAATTAAGGTATTAAAACTTCGTTAGTTAATGCAAGGTTATATCGTAAAAAAATCAATGTCTAATCGATCATATATATATATATATATATATATATATGGGATTGTTAATGGAGACTGAGAATCCTATTGCTAGCAATATACCCAACCAGGTCGACCTCCTCGCTGTTCTCCCTGGAAACTATCATGGTTAATTCCTGGTGAATTCATCATGATGGGCTAACTGGCGTGTTTTTATTCTCATCTATCACCCTTCACTGGTGCTCCGCCAGCGTATCCCGTTAGCGCAGGCGGGGTTACCATACCATTTTCACATACATACAAATAATATAAACGAAATTAGAACCTGTTTTTTTTTAAAGTCGCTTAAAAATTGGTCACCCCACAAGAGTAATCGCAAAAAGTGCTAGGTTAGCCAAGCGTTATCCTATTTAATGGGATAATAACAATAATAAGAGTTTTATCAACACGTAAGAACAAATTTAATGATACCATAAGTAAACACATACCGGTTTTTAAGACGGTTTTCATTTTAAACTCAAATTTAAAGTAAAAACATTTGCATAAGTCTTGAGATACGTTTTAAGTGAAAGTGCTTTAGCAGATTATTCATATAAATAAAGTAAGATGAAGGAACAAAGATATAGAAATCATACTGATATTAAAAGATTCTGCACACCCATGTTTTTTTGTAACTGCACACATGTTTATAATTATTTAATAATTACCAGAGGGAGACTTTGTACAAAATTCGATTGCTTGAGTACCTCTGTCCCATTCGTGTTTCTACCGTGAAACAGTTGTGTTTGCATGGCCGTGTTTCGGTTTGAAGGGTGGGATATGGCGTGAATTTTCAGGGTACAGAGGAATAACACCTGAGTCCTCAGGAATGGCAACGCATGGGGGGTATCATGGGCGAAACAGTATACTCTGTTATATCCATGATACTGCTCATGTCTATAGGCGACGGTTACCACTTTCCATCAGATGGGCCGTCAGCTTGTTTGCCATTCTAAGTTGTATAAAAAAAAAAAACTTAGAACAAGGAATTATAGAAATCTTTGGTTTATTACTTATTGTAACTTTAACAACTAAACTAGCTTTTAAACCTACTATTTAGACATGACGGCTATCCAACAGAAACTATAGATTAATTTTCAACCTACTCCAAAAAAAAGGAAGCTACAATTCGGTTGTATTTTTTTTATGTTTGTTACCTCATAACTCGGTCTGTTATAAACCGATTTCAAAAATTATTATCTAATAAGATACACTTACAAAATGGTCCCATGGAAATATTAATAAAGTCGGTTCAATGATTTAGTTTTTAAATCAAAATTTATTTATTTAACTTGCAGAATATTTTAACAAATCAAATTAACTAATTTTATTACGATTGATGTTGTTTTTGTTGTTTTTTTTTATGGAACGCAATCTTTATTATTTTAACCAATCAATAGAACGGTCACGCGGACGTAGTCGCCGGTAAAAACTAGTCATAATAATAAACAAATCTATTATTAGAATGTCAACAAGAAATAATGCTTCCTATATTAAAATGTACTAATAAAAAATAACATGGAAACACATAGCAGTCGTTGAGTTTTAATTAAAATTCACATAAGATATAAACAAAAATATCTATAAATAGAAAACCGGTCCGTCCCATATTGTAATTACGTATCTTGCAATCAATTTGCGATCGCCTAATATCGTAATCATAACATAGTATAAAACAAAGTCGATTCCCGACTGTTTGTCCCTATGTAAGCTTAGGTTCTCTCTTTTCATTTAAAAGTTTCCTCTTGCTGGTGCAACTAATTCATGCATCTTCTTCCAGCCAATTCTATCTCAGGCCATATCCTTGACCTCTCTATACGACATGACACTTAGTGTTTCTTTTATCTGTCCCATGTAGTTATTCCTCGGTCTTCCTCTTCCTCTTTTGCCTTCTATTTTTTCCTTTTACTATGCTCTTAAAAAAATCGTCATGTCGTATAAGGTGGTCCAGCATTTTGCCTCTTCTATTCTCTATTGTTTCAATTAATGTTCTTTTCTCGTTCACTCTTCTCAGGACGTCCTCACTCGTTAGTTTTTCTGTCCAGCTTGTTCTTTCCATTCCTCTGCATGTCCACATTTCGAATGCCTTAGGTTAAAAAATTAAAATGCAATAAATTTAAAAAAGAACTGTGTAAATGGTTGATAAATAAGTGGTCTCCAGGAATACTTACAAAATATAACATATTGACACATTATAAAAGATTGACATTTCTGAATAACAAATAAGAATAAAAACTGTTGTTATTTTTTTTTTACAACACAGGGGGCAAACGAGCATGCGGCTCACCTGATGGTAAGTGACTACCGCCGCCCATGGTCACCCACAACACCTACGGCATTGCAGGTGTGCTGCCGGCCTTTTAAAAAGGAATATGCTCTTTTCTTGAAGGTTATGTTGTCGTATCGGTTCGGAAATACTGCTGCTGGAAGTTCATTCCAAAGAGTGGTTGTGCGTGGGAGAAAGTGCCTTGAAAAACGCACGGTGGAGGACCGCCACTCGTCCAGATGGTTGGGATGAAATTAATTAATTAATTGTGAATCAAAACTAGCGTTTACCCATAACTTCGTATGCATGACCGGGATATGTTGACTGTCCGGGATAAAAAGTATCCTATATATATATATATATATATATATATATATATATATATATATATATATATATATATATATATATATATATAAATTATATAAGAATTGACATTGGTAATGCTTGCGTTAACGGTATATACTAGCGGGGTACCAGTGAGGAATGATAGGTGAGGATGAAAGCAGGTCAGTTAGCCCATCGTAACGAACTCCACTAGAATTAACCACGATGGTTTCCAGGGGGAACCGCGTGGAGGTCAACCATTGCTGGCAATGGGTTCATTAGACCCCATTACTAACAATCCCTTTCCCCCTAGATAAACCATTACATCGCTATAAGGTAATAAGGAAACTCACTTTAACATTAGAAATATGAAGTAAAGATATAAACAAGCAATATTTACAATGCATGAGTATCTTCAAAACATTCCGTCTTTTGTCAGTACATTCACAATTGAACGCTTGTTTCCAGTGAGCCAATAAATACTTTTTACTCAAAAAATTGCGTAGTGACACGAGACGTGAAAATAAAGTTAGTAAATCAAGTCAATAAAAAACCGAACCGTGGGACGTGCGTCCCGCAGTATTCAATTCCATTTATCTTTGTTTCAATCCCGGTAACCCGGGATCAATGTTTCCTATCCGGGATATTTCGCACCCCATAAAAATCTGTCACCGGAAAATATAAAATACGTTAGCTTTTTAGGGTACCGTGGACAATAACTAAAACTTTATTATAATTCCATCATTTAGCAGTTATGTTTGCATGGCTGTGTTTCGGTTTGAAGTTCGGCAGTGAATTTACTGGGTACAGAGGAATAACACCTGAGTGCTCAGGAATGGCAACGCATGGGGGGTATCATGAGCGAAACAGTATACTCTATTATGTCCACGGTACTGCTCATGTCTATAAGCGACAGTTACCACTTTCCATCAGGTGGGCCGACAGCTTATTTGCCATTCTAAGTTGCAAAAAAAATTATAAGCATCATTGATGTTTTCAGTGGTGGCCTTTTTTTAACGTCTGTAAATTGTCTCATTCAGACCCATACACTTTGTGGGAGGTGAATGAATACTGTGGGAATCCCCCCGTAAGGCGGAGGTATACCCACCAAAAACTAGACGATATACCTTCGAGGTGCCATATGTCGGAGACATGGGTTCGCTTTCGCACTCACCACACCTCCTATGGCAGCGACCCGTCTCCTGATGGTAAGGGCAGGTCTCCTCTCTCAAGATAGGGTGGCTGGCGTGCTCACCCTGGCACCACTCATGACGGCATCGCAAAAGGCGAGCACCGCTTCCCACGATCTCTCACTGCTCACCATCCGCCGAATCACGGCGGGCAGCGAGAGATCGATAGTGGTGGCCTGCCAAAGACATTAGAAACAGCTCACAAACATCTGGTATTGGGTTAAATACCATTAATCTAATTTTGTATGTAAGCACATTAGGGTTATAATATATAACATTAATGTGTTTATGACTTGAACATTTCTAAAATTTTTATGCCCCCATACATAATTTTTCCCGACAAAGCGACTCTAATCGCTCAGTCGATATTTTGGTAACGTCAAACGAAATTATACCTAATAAATATTTGAATTTTTTTTTATTTACTTTTTTTGTTAAATTTGGCACAGATATCTACTCGTAGCATTGCATTTAAATGACCAGGAGTAAGAGAGTTAAAATCGCTTCGAGTCCATTTTTTAATTGCCCCCCTTAACTATCAAATTGTCCCCCTATGGAGCGTGGGCCCCACGTTGGAAAACACCGGTTTATACTGTCATAATGTTTTAATTATTTTAACATGTTGAGCGCAACGCCAATTTTCGAGGAAGTTCCCGCCAAGCAACGCGCAGCTTAATTTGATCAACATATTTTCAAGCCAGTTTCAAGTCAAGTACAAGCACGAGTAAAAATTATTTCCAATCACTGGCTTGTAAGCAAAAAATATTATTATAAATTTGTAAAGTAGCTACCATTAAAAAAAATTGTTCCAGATATTTTGTAAATTTCTCGAAACCAATATCGTTATAATCATTTCATCGAACGATTTCTGTTTAAAAATGTACAACTCCAATATTCAAGAACTGGAAAAGATTAGAAATCAATAAAACAAGTTTGTACATGTAATGTAATGTACAGCAAAAATTAGTTCAAATAGGTATGTAAATTATAGCTACATTATCATTTATAGTGTTATTTTTGTATTTTCACAGTTAAATCACATGTGACAAATGACGGTAGTGATTTTCGCTCGCGGTGACCTTACGTTATAGTTGCTACTATTTGTTGAGAACGAAATATGATTATGATTTTTATAAAATCGAGCGAATAGAGACTTTAAAACATTGTGTTAAAGTCTCTATAACCCAGTTGCTCGTGTGCTGTGATTTCATTTCACTACTAACCTAGTACAGCTAAATAAATCTGACCTAATGAATAAATCTGAACATAACAATTACATGCTATTTCATTATTGCTATTTTGTAGCAGTTTTAAATTTTAATGTGCAAATGTAAACTTATATAAAAAGATGTCTGTCACCAACAATGTCAATTAAAATACTTTATCTCATTAGATTTGATTATAATATTAATACTCATTTTAACTTTTAATTTCGTAAATTCATTAATTGAATGGAAACAATGGCCTACAAGCCATTTTTGTAATTGGAATTTAAAATAATTAGTTGGTAATACTTTAAAGTGCTCGGGAATTTTATTATAAATTTTAATAGACATAAAATAGCAAAACCTTTGATATAGTTAAAATTGTACATTTCGGTACAACTAATTTAGTGAGATCCCTACTCCCAAATTCAGAGTGATCCACAACTTTGATAACCGAATAACCAGTTAATTGCAATATTCATCAATAACCAGTTAATGACAAACTGATTTAATTCTAGTAGTAAATTAGGTGATATAATATATATATAATGTTAATATTATAAAAAGATTTTATAAATATATAAAATCTTTTTTATAACAAATTTCATAACTTTGAATATATACGAATGAATCATTCAATTATGTTTCTCTTTAATAAAAATATTATAAATACAATTAATTCAATTTCCAAAACGAATATGTGATTCTAATAGATGGAATATAAATAAATTATTTCATATAATAAATTTCATTATTACAGTTATGTACTAACGACTTTTTCTATTACTACTTCTCTCTCTCTCTCTTTACCATTCGTTAGTGAGAGATAAAATCTACTAATGATCAAGGAATAGAACGAAAATTCTTCTTTTATGCAACTTAGAATGGCAAAAAAACTGACGGCCCACCTGATGGAAAGTGGTAACGGTCGCCTACAGACATGAGCAGTACCGTGGACATAACAGAAAATACTGTTTCACCCATATCACCCATACGTTGCCATTCCTGAGGACTCATGTGTTATTCCTCTGTACCTAGTAAATTCACGCCATATCCCACCCTTCAAACCGAAACACAGCCATGCGAAAACATTATACAAATAATGATATATATACTTATATACCCATCTACATAATTACAATTTTAAATACAAGTATTATAAAATTATAAGACATGTAAGGAAATAAGTATGCTAACCAGACAAGCAAATTACGATAATGACTGCTTGCTCAAAGAAAAGCCTTTAACATTTGCTTTAAAACTTGGCAGGTAAAACATTGTATGAATATATTTCTTACAGAAACTAGTTAACCATTCCATAGCTGTACAGCCTGCATAGTAAACGATTTGTCGTAAAAACTAGAGAAATATACTGGTGTCCTCAGCTGCAGGCCCTCAGACGACCTCAGACGACTAGTGAACCGTAGTTGCTGGTTGATATAGCAACAATGAAAGTACCACAGTTTTTAAGTGAAAATGAGTGGCATTCCAAGCGAGTATCGTTATAAGAGGTGCGGTTACAAGGCATAGAGCGTTGTTGTAGTGTGTTGCCACGTATAAAATTACATTGGTACGAGCTAATATTTGCATTTATTGCCAGGTATGGAAACATAAATGAATTTTTTTTTTTTTTGGTGGATGAAAATGGTATGGTAACCCCGCCTGCGCTAACGGGATACGCTGGCGGAGCACCAGTGAAGGGTGATCGATGAGAATGAAAACAGGCCAGTTAGCCCATTATGATGAATTCATCAGGAATTAACCATGATAGTTTCCAGGAGGAACCGCGAGGAGGTCGACCTGGTTGTGTATATTGCTAGCAATGGGATTTTTAGTCTCCATTACTAACAATCTCTTTCCCCCCATAAATGAATATTAGTTTCCAACACAGACTGAGGGGGAGGGAGGGATTGTTAGCAATGAAATTTACTGACCAATTGTTAGCAATACACCCTATTAGGTCAACCTTTTCCCCACGCAGTTCATCTTGAAAACTATTTTGATAAATTCTTGTGAAATTTGCCACGATGGGCTAACTGGCCTATTTTCATACGGACCTACCTCATATCTCTCACTGGTGTCTCCCCAGCGTATACCGATAGCAGAAGTGGGGTAACCGTTCCATCTTCATCCATTAGAAAAAACGTAGATTGAATCAGTTAATTTCTTTATAAATATTTCTTTTAATAGAATAATATTAAGTAATTATTATTAACCTAATTAATTATTATTAATAACATAATATTATTTTAATTATTATTGAATTAATTAATTATTGCTAATTAAAGCAGATGTTCGATCAATAAGTACAGTAATTCTATATTTATTATTAATATTATATCCGCCATTAACTGTCCACCGCTTCACAAAGATCTTCTCCATAAAGAAAATTTTACCAGAAGTTGTCATGCTTGGCAAGAGGATTGGCAACCGCAGTTAGACTTTGGTAGTGTTTATAGAGGGTCGTTGCTGCACATCTCTCGACCATTAAGTGCCCTTAGTCGCCTTTTACAACACTCACGGGAAAGTAGGGGTGGTCCATTTCATGCTTCAATAATTTTACACACGAGACGGAATTATGTTATGAGCTAATTCTAATTGGAACTAGCACATAACGAGTACTACTTCGAATCTAATAATAAACAGAAATACACTATTACGCGAGGGCTTAAAAACATGGCGACTTGCAGCAATATAGTTTTGATTACAAACATTTCTGTGTTTTCTAAATAGGTACCTATTGTTACAAAATATGTATGCAGTCGCTGCAAAACCTTGATTGCAAATTAACTTTGCATATTATGCGAAACAACTCATTAGGTTTCTCGTATTATGTCATTGTGTACACTAATTGTTTCATGCAAGTGGATAATGCGTAACTTTTATAAAAATAAATAAGAAATAAATATTATAATCTATCAACTTTTATAAGATAAAAATAAATTCCATTAGAACAATTTAAGAAAAGAGATTTAAAAAGGAAATACTGAGGTAATAAATAAAAGGAAGAAGAAAGGAAAATTTAAAGAAAATGTTAAGAAAGACAATTATTGTTGTTTGAAAGTGATTGGTTTAAATTGTGACTGTATATTAAAACGAAGTTTAATCGAAATTGTGATTAATTAATGAATCACAAATACTAAAGTTAAATAAAAATTAAATCATCGTCAACTGTCCACTGCTGGACATAGGCCACCCCTTATTGGGAGTTTTGCCAGTAGTCGATTTGGCGAGCGAGTTGGCCACAAAAAAATAAGACCCCAAAATAAAAATCACCATGAATATTATTAAGATTTTCATTATTATAAATATGTATGTAAACAAATTAACTTATTCTTTAACTAAACTAGTTAATAAACAAATGGTTAAGTATAAAGTGTTAAGTGATCACACAATGGTGTCCAATAGTGATATCTTTCCATATGTAGTTGCTATATTGAAGAAATCAACGTACATGAGTGCTGGTGCATTGATTGATGATAACTGGGTGTTGACTGCGGCGGATTGTTTGTTTCTGTGAGTTCTTAATTTAATTTTAACTTTCCACGACTTCGCCCCCCGACTTCTTCAGAGCGAGTACAGTGTACTTTATTCTCCCTGAAGAAAACTTCCAGATGAAGTTAACACAATTGTCGGAAATACCAAATATAGTAAGTCTATAAAATTCCCGTTAAAGATATTTATAGGAACCTTTAAAAAATTTACATAAGTTAAAAGAAAAATTATATAAAAAAGAATTAAAAGTTGTAATAATATGTATATATATATATATATATATATATATATATATATATATATATATATATATATATATATATATATATATATATATATATATATATATATATATATATATATATATATATATATATATATATATATATATATATATATATATATATATATATATATATATATATATATATATATATATCTGTCATGCCTGTCTTCCATTAGGGTAGACAGAAACACATCGCCTATTTGGTCAACATACGTCCGTCTAGGGTGGCCCCTACCGACATCTCTTATCTTCGTAATTCTTCTTTCATCCATCCTATCCAAATAGCTATACCAACGCAACATTCTTTTTTCGATTTTTGTCACTAAAAAAGACGATGGTCTTTCAGTCCACACTTCTCTCTAATCACACTATTTCTTACTCTATCTTTTAATGTAACACCACACATACTTCTCAAAGCTCTTATCTCTACAGCATTTATCTTACTTTCATGCTTCTTCTGTCATACCCATGATTCGCTTCTAATATCTAAGATACTTTAAGTACAGAATTAATATAAGATCAACATAGAAATAAATCCTATATATTTGATTAATAATTATTAAAAACATTTCGAAATTTACGAAAAAGTTACAAAATACAAATACACATACAAAATACAGTTAAATATGTTTGTTAAAAATCGGTTTGAAACAGAACGCATATATTTTAGGATGTGTTTTAAATTTGTGAATAATAATTATAATTCTTTCAGAATTGGAGAATCTTTAAGAATTATCAGAATCAGAGTGGGAAGTATAAATTATAAGAAAGGTGGACTTCTACTACCAATCAAATCATTCAATATTCATCCTTATTTCGATAACAGGAAGCCCGAATTTAACATAGCACTTATAATGCTGCCGGAAAGAGTGAGATTTTCACATAATGTAAGTCCAATAAGAGTTCAGAAGTACTACAGAGGCGTGACTGCAACGCATTTTATTATAACTGCTTGGTCAGGAACCCTTGTAAGTATAATAAACTTATTTATTTATTTGTAATAATACCCTCCCTACTGAAGATTCTTCGCCACGACCCCCCACACCGCAGACATACCCGCACACCGCACACACCATCCCCGCCGGCGGGCACGAAGACCCACCGCGACACACAGTCCGCGCGTGATCATGTTTGCGCCCGAGCGCATCCCTACGACCCCGAGTCCCCATCCATCACGACGTACCGACCCTTCGCCGTTTCTCGACGGGAGTCGAAATGCGGTAACCTAAGCCGAGGTCCGAGCCACTCTGGCGCCATTGGGTGCACGCCGCAGTCCATCAGACAGACCTGACGCCTACCGTCGCTCCTCTCTCACAGGCTTGGAGTACCGTCTGCACTCGCCCCTGCGTACACGTTCGGTGAAGCTGTAAAGGCCATCTGCGGCCAACAGCATAAACAGTTAGAAAAAAAAAAGTAATAATATTTAAATGTTTATTTATTTTATTTATTTATTTCAAGTAAACAGTTACATAGACAATACAAATCCTGAGTGTCGCGAAACTGCATTGCAGTTTGTCTGCAGCTTTGCGCTCTTGTACATACATACAGCTTTATAAACAATTATGAACTTATATCCTAATTCTATATACTAAACTTATATCTTTATACATACATATACACAGATGTGCATATATACACATATATACACATACATATACATACAGACACACATGCATATACTAATGTGTACTCATACCAGTAACATCCACTTTTTCCACAACCTTCACCAACCAAATTAAATCTAATGCGGATCTATAAAAAAAATTTTGACTTTTCTTTTAATATATTTTATCGTGACATTATTTAATACATTATAATATTTTGAAACCAAATATTTTCTTGTTCTTTTACCATAATAATTATTAATTTTGGGTACAATATATTCTTCATGTTTAAATGTTTGTTACTCAATAACGGTTTAAAGGCTATTAAACGGCAAAATATTATTTTTGGAATAATATACTTTTAACATATTCGTTATTGGATCAGTATAAATATATTATAACAAAAATATATATACATACTGCTATAACAATATCTATACATTTTTATTACAATTTTTTTTATACAACTTAGAATGGGAAACAAGCTGACGGCCCACCTGATGGAAAGTGGTAACCGTCGCCTATTGACATGAGCAGTACCGTGGACATAACTGAGTATACTGTTTCGCCCATGATACCCCCTATGCGTTGCCATTCCTGAGGACTCAGGTGTTATTCCTCTGTACCCAGTAAATTCACGCCATATTCCACCCTTCAAACCGAAACACAGCCATACAAACACAACTGCTTCACGGTAGAAACACGAATGGGACAGAGGTGCCCAAGCAATCGACTTTTGTACAAAGTCTCCCTCTGGTAATATATATTATATTACTCACCCGTCCTACTACGTCCCACCTCCCACATCTAAGAATTCACTGTTAATGAAGCAATAATTCTAAATACAAATTTTTCTTTAATCTTACTTTACTACCTAATTTCTATTCTTTTTTCAACCTATTTGCGTTTTAGGTAATAATTGGCATTTTCTTTTAATTTTAGGAGTCAAAAGAGTCGACAATTGAATCAATGGAAACCATAAAAAGGCGTCGTATGCTCACAGTGTCCCACCTACACCCGTCCAGTACTAGTAGTTGTGCAAACCAACTGGCCACTTTTGGCATAAACGAAACTGAGACGACAATGTGTCTGGACCCAACTCCGGATTCTAATCCTTGTGCGGTAAGATGTAATCTATAGATGAATAGATAGCCTTGATCTATTTAGTATATTTATATATTTATCTATATGTATTATTATTTATATGTTTATGTATTGTTATCATATTTTCATACAAATGATATTTAGAATATTATGCATATTGTTTGGTTACTTTTTTGTATTTTCCTGTGTCTGACTTGCGTCATCTACCATACTCTCTTTATTTCTTTACTATTTATGCCAGGTTGCCTGTAAGAGATTGCTTTTAGCGATAAGGTCGCCTTTTGTATATGCACATTCTGTATAAATACTCCTTGTATACATCTCCATTGTGCGCAATAAATAGTTTATTATTAATAGTATTATCTGGACTTAATGCGATGAAAAAAAAATGCAATAGTAGCTACATACCTCCTTTATTATGTCACGTTTATTAAGTCCCAATAGTATATTTTAAAAGTATATATCAACAATGTGAAAGTTTAAAATTAACTAATAGATAGACAATCTTTATTATTTCCTCTAAAAGATTACATTCGTAAACTTATTATAAACACAAACAATTATAAGAAAAGATTACACTGAGAATGGCAATAGACGTTAAAAGTGATCTCTTCCTGGCAATTTCTAGATAGAGAAGAGTAATTATAAAGTTTGATCGAAATTGCGAGTTCTCTGTTCGTTTATATAAATGTATATTTTAACTTACTAATGCATACTTAAATACTACCATATATACATACATATAAATACAAATTCATACATATACATATGTAGTTACAAAAATAAAAACTCGAAAAGAATTGAGTGATAAGAAAGGACAAGACACTTAGGTTTGTGCTGTTAGAATAGTCTATGGTAATTCAATCATTTATTCTTTCCGCTTCTTCGCTTATTTTGTTTTTTCTTTCCTCCATTTCCTCCTTTTTCATTTTCTGCTTAGATTTCTTTCTCCTTTCTAAATTCAAAACGTACAAATCTGCTCATAACCTATTATCATCATATAATTATTATTACCATTACCTGTCCTCTGCTAGACATAGCGTCTAATACTTATAATTAATAATAAAGCCTAATTCTTTATCTTTATTTTGCAGAGAGATATTGGAGCCCCTGTAGTGTTGAATGGCGTGCTTTGGGGTGTCATCTCGTCCTGGAAACCTGATGGATGTGATCTAAAGCCGGGATCCAGCTTCGTGACGTTAGTAGGCGCTGCCAACGTTAGTTCCTGGATCCACGCGACTATACGCGGTCACAGATGGAGTCATTATTACAAGGATAATTACACTGTAACGAATACCAATAACGTTGATTATGACATTGACGATGAAAATAATATTTAAATAGTTTATAAAACGGCACCGTACAACCGCCATAATGTTTCGTCCCAAACACCTAGACGAGTGGCGGTCATCCACTGTACGTTTTTTAAGGGCACTTTCTTCCACACACATCCACTGTTTGGAATCAACTTCCAGCGTCAGTATTTCCAAACTGATAAGACATAAAGTTCAAGAAAAGAGAATATTCCTTTTAAAAAGGAATATTCTCACACACCTGCAATGCCGTTGTGTTGTGGGTGATCATAGGCGGCGGTAGTCACTTACCAACAGGTGAGCCGCATGCTCGTTTGCCCCCTGTGTTGTAAAAAAACGCTTGATATAAAACACCTATCTTATTTAATTTATTACGATTAAAGATTTTAAATAAATATTCGTACAATACTTCCTCCACTCCTGTCTTATTTCCTCGCTTATTTCTCGCTTCCTCTCTTCATTTTTTCCTTCCTCTCATTTCTTGTGGTCACAAATGCAGTAATAATTACAATAATTATTCCGTTACAAAAACAAATGATATTATTTATTTACTTATCTAATATTTACTTTATTTTAGTAAATAAATAATAATCGTGAGCATATTTTTTATAATGTTTTATTTCAATTCAATTCAATTCAATTATTTATTGCTATTTCATGTTGTAACAATATAGGTCTTAAGTTATTAAAAGTATAGAATCAACATGAACCCTGGAAGGGCACAGCAATCATATTAATAAATATTTCATAAAGTACATAACTAAATTTTTACATTATGTATATGTATCGTCGATTAACATAAATAAAACATTATTACATTTAAACAAATAGGTACAAATACAATTAAATTTTCTCATTGAAAAATTCCTGTAGTGTATAATAACTTTTTGTAATTAAATATTTTTTAGAGCTATTTTAAGCTAGCTTTTACACACATCTTCGTCTGCGTGATTGGGATATGTTCATTTACCGGGATAATAAACGTTGCCTACGCCCTTCTTCAACCCATATAGTGCATGTATAATAATATTCATATTGATCGGTTAAGCAATAATGACAATTGGCAAACAAGCTGACGGCCTACCTGATGGAAAGTGGTAACCGTCGCCTATAGACATGAGCAGTACCATGGACATAACAGAGTATAGTGTTTCGCCCATGTTACCCTCCATGCGTTGCCATTCCTGACGACTCAGGTGTTATTCTTCCGTACCCAGTAAATTCACGCCATATCTCACCCTTCAAATCGAAACACAGCCATGCAAACACAACTGCTTCACGGTTGAAACACGAATGGGACAGAGGTACTCAAGCAATCGACTTTTGTACAAAGTCTCCCTCTGGTCAAGAAATAACAAATAAGCTAACTTTCATATTTATAATACTCAACATCATCATCATCATCATCAGTCGTAAACTGTCCAATGCTGAACATAGGCCTCCCATTATTGAAGTATTTTGCCAGGCAAGTATTTCATGCTTGGCAGGTGGATTGGCAAACGCAGTTAGGCTAAAAGCTGTTGCCCATTTCTCGACCTTTAAGTTCCTTTAGTCGTCTCTTATAACAGCTGCAGGAAAGAGACGGGGTAGCCATTCTGTGTCCAGGATCACATGGCCATAATTAAATTGTAAAATTTCAAATAAATTTCCAATATTAGTAAGAATTTATAGTTTGTTGATAAATATTCTCTTTTCATTTAAGAGTTTCCTCTTGTCGGTGCAACTAATTCATGCATCTTCTTCCAGCCAGCTCTATCCCAGACCATATCCTTGACCTCCCTATACGACATGACACCTAGTGTTCCTTTTATCTGTCCCATGTCTTCATTGATAAATACATTAATATAGATTAACTTATAATAAATCTGCAGAAAGGTCAATTCTGTACATGAAATATATTTCCAAAATTACTATCAGGGGGTGATTAGTGATCGATACTGATGCCAAAAACAACTATGTTCGTTATAGAAACAAAAACTACTCGACGGATTTTAATGAAACTTGGTACAATTATTCTTCGTACTCCTGGGCAGGTTATAGTATACTTTTCATCACGCTACATTCAATAGGAGCAGAGCAGTGAAGGAAAATATTAAAAATGTCCACCCGTGCGACGCCGGGACGGGCCGCTAGTCATGAAATAAACGTCTCTGTGCCGAGTACATTCAACCCAATCGATATCAATATGATATTCTCAATCGCTACACAACTCAATTCCACAAAGAAACATCTCAAACATCTGTAAACCTTTTGTGGCTTTTCAATTGCTGTTGTTGATAGAATCCATGATTGATTGTGGTCGCGGATTGAATGGTATGAATGATTGAAACATGTCAAAGACCGAGTGAATTCTCAATGGCACGAGCTAAATCCGGGCTTTACCTACGTTAGTGGCAATAGAACCTTTAGAAATAGGAAATATTGAAATGAGGTCTCTTGTTTATTACTGGGCACGGATTATAATTTCTTTTTTACACGGTTAATGAATATTTTGAATATTACTCAATATATACTCAATTAATGTAATTTGTAATTTGTGAAATGATTGTAATTTGTAATATGTATAATTTATTATTAATACGTGTTACAAACTCCTTTGTAATTTGTATTTCTAATATTGTATTCTTTTAATTATTAATTTTTTTTTATATAAACTGTCAGTACAAATTTTCAACTCGAACCGGCGTTTTCTTCATTACAATCAGTTCACAATAATACGTAAATATATTGACATTTATATAATATGACGATTTAAATAAAATAGTATTAGCTTAGTATTAAATAAATTTTGTATGCCAGATTCTGGTGAAAAATGTGAACAATATTTAAATATTATATACCATCTTTTATACCATTTTTCAAACAAAATAAATAATAATATAAATAATATTAATTAAAATATATACAACTTTGGTGGCAACCAAGCATACGGCCCGTCAGATGGTGAACGGTGTTACCGAAGACTTTAGACGTCTGTAACACCAGATCTATCTTAAATTATTTCTACTATAATACATATATAGTCACTAATTTCCCGCTAGTCGCTTATGACTTGCGTTGTACGTTAAGAATTATCACCAAACAGCCCGATGTCGGCGCCAGGCACATTAATAAGATATTATCAGTCGTAGATATAGTTATTTATTGCACAGTCACAACGGGAACTAAAGAACAAAAGGGCGTTTAAAACAAACAACAAAGATTACTGTATGTAACAAGTACGTACCAACATTTAGCTCTGCAAATGATTTAAGCTTACCTTATATAGGTAAAGCATCGAGCCTCGAAAACTGCTCAACTTTTTGTCAGCTAATTGTGAAATTAGCTATATTTTTTATCAGTGTTCCATATACTTACGCACCTAATGTATTTTGAAGTTTTTTTTTTATATACAACTTAGAATGGCAAACAAGCTGACGGTCCACCTGATGAAAAGTGGTAACCGTCGCCTGTGTTATTTGCTATTCTAAGTTATATGTATGTATATATATAACTATAATAATAAACATATTTCAATACGGATATTTGTCACTGTCAGATTCTGGGATCTGCATCAATGGTAATAAAAGGTATGGTACAAGTTATAAGCTTTAGCAAGGACTTTTTTTTAAGGATAACCACCTGTGCTAGTGCTACAAAATAATGAATCACAGCCAGACCAATTTGAGTATTATCATTATTATTTCGATATTTATAGTTATCAGTGTTTAATAAAAAATAATAACATAATTTTGCAATGATGAATTATTATAGGCTAATGATTTCGTTGCTGATTTTGCAGTTGTAAAGCTTTTTATAGGAACTTGATTTAAATGAAAGTTAAACGAAACTATAATACAATATAGCCGAGTTATCTACGCTCAGTTAGTCGTAATATTGGGTTTTCAGGAGGTAATTCTTGATTGAGGCCATTTTTATAGTTTACCCTAATTTATCGTATAGAGAAAAGAATAAGTTTCTATTTAGTAACTAATAACATGAAATTAAGTGATATATTTTCGCTTACCTTTTATTTTGACCAAGATATATTAAAAAAAAAAAGTTATATTCACAGCGAACTTTTAACCTAATTCATTTAACAAAAAGAAAAAGTGGATTACAGCTTTGTGCATTTATTCTATATCTAAGCAATTATTATACTTATTGTTAAATGTTTCGTAAGCACACATTATATTTTAATGTAACAACTACCGGTTTAACTTACATATAGTTAGGTCGAGAAAACTCGACTAGTTTCAGAACCATTCAGAAACCTTAATCATGATACAAAAATCTGAACAATTTTTTCATTAAATATCTATTTTATTATACACGTAAAAAGCACAAGATAATTAGGCAACCATTAAACTTTAAACACAAGATAGTCAGCTTGAAGCCTGTACAGTCATGTAAAAATTTTAATGCTTTGTTCTCTTCGCCTATCAAATGTAAACGAATAATATAAACTTATTCTAAACGCTTACGCTCATGACTTATCAGCCTTTATTTCCGAGCAAACACTTTCTGGAGATTCGTGTCATTACTCCTTTTTTTGGTAAACATTTTCGTAAAGTAGAAAATGTCAGAGATCATCGGAGATAAATATTCCAATATATATTTAGTGGAAGGTATCTATTTACGTGGATTGTTTTGATATAAACACCATAACTGTTTATCAAAATGGCACATTTTTTACATAGTCTTTTAGTTTTTTTTTTTATTTAATTTTTTATTGTTTACTACTAACATTAAAGGCAGACATTGTACAAAAGTCGTTTGCTTGGGCACCTCTGTCCCATTCGTATTTCAACCGTAAAGCAGTTGTGTTTGCAAAGCTGTGTTTTGATTTGTAGCGTGGGATATAGCGTGAATTTACAGGGACAGAGGAATGACACCTGAGTCCTCAGGAATAGCAACGCATGGGGGGTATCATGGGCGAAATACTCTGTTATGTTCATGGTATTGGGTCGTGGCTCGTGTCTATAGGCGACGGTTACCACTTTCCATCAGGTGGGCCGTCAGCTTGTTTGCCATTCTAAGTATAAAAAAAAAAGTTTAGAAGAAAATATGCAATATACGCTTCCTAGATATACTAGATTTACACCAACATTATTTACTTTAACAAAGTTATTTACTTAGAAGCTACGTGTCTAATAAATGTTACCTGTTTTCTTGCCAGCACTGTTAAGGATATGAGACGAGAGCACCTACTCGTAGTAAGTTGAGACGGTTATTGTTATAATTATTATTTCAGCCGTTTACTGTCCACTGTTGGCTGTAAGTTATATATATATATATATATATATATATATATATATATATATATATATATATATATATATATATATATATATATATATATATATATATATATATATATATATATATATATATATATATATATATATATATATATATATATATATATATATATATATATATATATATATATATATATATATATATATATATATATATATATATATACACTAATGATTAGTAATATTACGCGCCTATTGCCATCCCTGATGAAACCTCTTTACCCCCCTTTTGAAGAACCCCATGCTGTAGTCTCTTGGGGAAACCTCGCCAGGGAGCTCATTCCGTAACCTGA